TTGTATCTCATAATTTCGGCTTTTTATCTCGTAATTATGAATTTGTATCTCATAATTTCGGCTTTTTATCTCGTAATTACGACTTTACATCTCGTTATTTCGACTTTCTATTTAATTTTTTTTTTCTTTTACTGGCGGAAATGGGCTTCCATAGAAATGGGCTTCCATAAATTTGTTTTGCTTCTGGAATGTTTTTCTTTGCTTTTGAATTTATTTATTTTTTTGCTTTTGGAACGCTTTTTTGTTTCTGACTTTTGGCACTGTTTTAACGGGTGGGCGGGCTTTAGCAGCTTACACGTCTATTGGTCAGCTGGAATTTGGAGTGAACACGCCTTTAGCCATCTGAGCACGCCCACTACATGACGCTTCAGAACATCGCAACATGGCGGGAAGCTCCGGAGCCAGTTTACAGCATTGAATTGCATCTTTGTAGTTCTATAATAGTGTACTTTTATTAGGAATCGGTGTATGCAACACATATTTCGCGTTCATAAAATGTCACCAACCCATCCAGTTCAGTAACTTTCGCTATTCCACCAACGCGCTGACCAGGGAAGTTTCTAGCTATTGAAAAGATGAGGCTAAGTCAAATTTACCTGGGGCACCGATGTTGTTAGCTTCATATTCGATATTCAGTTTTCTGGCTTTAATAACATTTAACGGAAGTAAGGTGAGGCGTTTTTAATGACAGAATTGTGATGTCCAGTACACAGACAACGATGCACACCGATTATTTTTGCGCTTTTAAATCATTTCGTGATTTGTGCAAAATCGTGTTAATAGCTAATATAATAGGTCCTGTCAGCTATAATGACGTGGTGGTTTAGCATTTTGGGCTCATGGCGACTGATGCACACCCCTTTCTTTCCCAGATTGCTTTACGTACGATTTTTAATTAATTTTTGAATGTTCGAAGGTATCCGTATAATATGCAATGGGACAATACATAAATGGGTTAATAACTTTAAAACTAGACAAGACAGGCACACATCTATAGTGAAGTGTGCTTTGATCAGTGGACTACAGGAAACAATGCACACCCCTTGGATTTTCAGATTATTTTTGTCTGTAATAGTTATTATATTGCATCCATGTA